ACCGTAATCTTATTACTAGCACTACTGTCAAAACACATATGCCACGAGGCATTCTTCTTCGGAATGAGCAGGGCCGGCACCGCACAAGAGCTCAAACTGCGACGAACAACCCCCCGTTGTATCAACTCCACCACCTGTCGCCTCAACTCCTCGTGTTCAGCCGGGCTCATACGGTAATGAGGACGATTAGGCAGATAAGCACTGGACACCAAATCGATATGATGTTGAATGTCCCGAAGTGGAGGAAGATCAGAAGGTAGCTCATCAGGAAAGACATCAGAAAATTCATCAAGCAAAGGTTGAATAACAGCCGGCGGGGCCGCTGGGGACGACACATCAGTACCCAAAAGAAGCACAACACACGGTGCCTCCCGCAGTTCACCAGCAAAGGCTGCGTGAGATAATAAAAGACCTGTGGTGGTGGTGGCGGCGGCTGAGGCAAGGAACGAGGAGGCGAAGGATGAAGGACCAATTTATCTCCCTGAAACATGAAGCTGTATGTGTTGAGACGACCGTCGAAAGCTACCGCGCGATCAAATTGCCACGGACAACCTAACAAGAGATGACACGCGTCCATGGGCACCACATCACACCACACCGAGTCACAATACTTGGGCCCGATGGAAAATTGGACCAACACCCGACGGTCCACTGTGATGGCGTTACCGCACTAATCTACGCCAAAGTGTACGGCTGAGGATGTGGTACTGTCGATAACTGAAGGCGATCCACAGCATCATGGGACACTACATTTTCACAAGAACCAGAGTCAATAATAAAACGACAAACACGACCACCTACCGTACATGTTGATTCAAAAATATGGTGACGCTGCAAAGACTCCATAGTGTCAGAAACCTGAGGTGACAAAGACGAGCGGTGAAGAACCAAAGCAAGGCCCTCGTCACCATACAGATGTTCCTCCTCGGGGTCGGGCTCGACATTAAATGTAACGCCCACTTTTATTTACCAGAAATCAGAATAAATATTTATTTCAAAAACAATATTCGAGGCGCTACTCATTTTCAAATCAATAATCAATA